ATGTGACATCCCCTACCCAAATTTAGTACCCCTCTTTAGTGTAGAAGAAAATTTTTCCTCATTCCATTTTTTTTTCTGATTTTTTTTTTATATTAGAGGCATTCCACTGTCTGAGATAGGTTGCATCCCCTATCAAATTTTAGTGCCCTTCTTTTGTGTAGAAGGATCTTTCTCCTCTTTTCTTTTTATTCTCTTGTGTTCTTCTTACATTAGAGGCATTCTACTGTTTGAGATAGGTGGCTTATCCTATCAAGCTTCAGTGTCCCTCTTTTGTGTAGAAGAAGTCACAATGAGAGTTTCCTCTCTCAATAGACTGCCCTTGACAGATGAAGATCAACCACATCTTGCATGCGAGGGTTATTTAAGAAGATGTGGCGGTAATAATATCCGGGAGAAGAGTTGGTGATTGTTAGTAAACAGACATAATTTTTTATGATGTTTGAGCGAAAATCCATAGACGATCAACAATCATGTTGAAGTTCGATCTAGATCGATAGTTTAGTGGAGAGCTGAAGGAGATACTTGGAGGTTGCGCTACTAATAGTAGTCGATCGAGAAGCCTATGATGGATGATATGAGGTGAAAGTCCAATGGTAGACAACAAGCGAAGGGCCGATGATGGTGATGGTCAAGTTGCATTCTGCTAAAGGCAATATGCATCTATGCTGATGTGTGCGGATATCAAACATCTATGTTGGAAGGGGTCGAAGCAGTGTATCCTATTAGTAGTCCGGCTATACACTACAATGTCAATTGAGTAGAGGCCTGATGATGATTATGTTATAATCTTTTTTTGAAGAAGAAATTGTAGGAAATGCTTTAATGTGCAGTAGAGAAGAGGTCAATAGAATTCACCAATGATATTTGATCTTCTCGAAGTTGTTTGTTTCCATTAACTAATATGAATGATGCCAATGTACTTTTAATTTCATCTTCTAGTGAGAACAAATATACACTTAAATGTGCTGTAGAATTTTGCTATGCAAATCTAATGACATGATATATGAATTTGTATGAGCTTGATGCTTGCTTTTTACTTGAAATGAACTTATCCTACAGAGGAAACTAAGTCATTTATGTATCGTTGAGATATGCTTTGATATATTGCTCCATGTGTCTTTTGAGGCTTTTTAGACTACTAAGATCTTTATATGAGTGATGACTTTATCAACCACATACTCTCATAGTCTTTCTAGTGAGGACTCTGTTCATTACTAGCTTCCCTTCAAAGCTACCTTATGGGTAGACCTTCTTAGGGTTATTTGTCAGAGTTTTGTTCAATGACGCTATTAGATTGAGAGAAATCCACAAAAGATATTTAATCTATCCAATGTTATTTGTCAGAGCATTACTCGATGACGTTAACCTGTGTGGAAGAGTCTGAGAGAATTTATCAATAATATATGACCTACCCAAAGTTATTTGTCATAGCATTGCTCGATAGCATTAAACTACATGGGAGAGCTCGAAAGAATCCACCAAAGATGTATGACCTATCCGAGGTTATTTATTAGAGCGTTAATCAATGAAAGTTAACCTATATGGAAGAAGTCGAGAGAATTCACTGAGGATGTATGGCCTATCTGAGGTTGTATGTCAAAGCGTTGCTGGTTGACGTTAACCTATATAGAAGAAGTCGAGAGAATTCACTAATGATGTATGACCTATCCGAGGTTGTATATTAGAGCATTGCTTGTTAATGTTAATCTATATGGAAGAGGTCGAAATAATCCACCAAGGATATATGACATATCTGAGGTTGTATGTCAAAGCACTGCTCCATGACGTTAACATATATGGAAGATGTCGAATCGAATCCCCTTATGATCGATTTTGCTTTGAATGGAAGGGAGCAAACGCCGCGTGTATCCCGAATCAAATGTGAAAATTTGTCTATTTTTAGACAGTTACTGCCTTTTTGATGTCGATATTAAGACCTCGCCCGAGTAAAGTCCAGCTAGAGACAGTGTAAAACTTGAAATTTATTGGAAGTATCGTTGCATTTGCTAAATCTTTATGATCCCAATATATCAACTTAGATATTGGTAGAGTTGGAAGAATCTTCTTGACCACAGCTATAGTCAAGATTTCCCCCCTCAGTCCACATTTAATTCAATATTGATGATGTAATAATTGATGCCAGGACGTTGACACGAACGACCTTTAGAGGTTGGAGCAAAAATTGTCACCCAGTCGGAAACCACATTCCACAGACGACGTCAAACTGTTGCATCCTGAAATATTCACGGCAGTAAAGAAGTATAAAGTTTAACATCTTAGCGTTGTACGAAGATCCAGCACGCAAACAGATGAAAGAGAAGGTGCAGTATTCATAAGAGACAAAATTTTTTACATGGAAAAATCTAAAAAGGGAAAAAAACCATGTGGTCTATCCCAATTTTAATGAATCCACTATTATTTGCAATCGATTACAAATGAAACCCTATTGGGGGAAGGTCTTGGCATGATGTAATAAATATACATAATATAAAATGCATTACATGATGGGACTTGAAAGAATCACTATTGGTATGTTTGTTTGGTCGGTAAAACCATAGTCGACGGACGACAAAGGTCGAAAATACCGTAGTATAGTAACGGTGGTTGGAGGGATCGTAGTCGGCAAGCGACGGTGGCAGAAAAGACCGTTGTCTGGTGATGGAGGTCGGAAGAACCGAAATTTCTCTATGGAGGTTAGAAGGACAGTAGTTGACAAGCGACATTGATCAAAAAGGTCGCTGTCTGACGAAGGAGGTCGGATGGACCGTAGTCGACTGGCAACGTAGGTCGGAAGTGCAGCAATGGGCGGAAGTCCGGCGTCAGATAGAAGTCCGGAGGAAGTCCGACGATGGGCAGAAGTCTAGTGTGGGCGTAAGTCCGACATCGAGTAGAAATCCAGCGACGGGCAGAAGTCTGGCGTCGGATTAAAATTCGATGAAAATCCAGCGATGGGCAGAAGTACGATGACGAGTGGAAGTTCAGTGACGGGTAGAAGTCCGACGAAAGTGTGGCGACTCGCAGAAGTCCAGTGATGGGCTGAAGTTCTGCGTAAGGTAGAAGTCCGGTGATGGATGAAGTTTGAAGTCGGGTAGAAGACCAATGAAAGTCTAGCGACGGGAAAATGTTCGGGGTCGGGCGAAAATCCGGCTTCAGTTAGAAATCCGGCATTGGGTAGAAGTCAAACGAAAGTCTGACGACTAGTAGAAGCCCGGCGACGGGCGAAAGTCAGGCGTCGGGTAAAAGTCCGACGATGGACAGAAGTCTGACGACATGAGGAAGTTCGGCATCGAGAAGAAGTCCAACGAAATTCCGAAGACGGGCAAAAGTCCGACGACGGGCAAAAGTCCAGTGATGGGCAAAAGTGCGGTGTCGAGTAGAAATCCAGCGACGGACGGAAGTTCGGTGTCAGGTAGATGTCCGACGAAAGTTTGATGACGGGTAAAAGTTCAGGGACGAGTGGAAGTCCGGCGTTGGGTAGAAATTTGGTGACGGGCAAAACTCTGGCGTCGGGTAGAAGTTCAACCAAAGTCCGGCAATTGGCTAAAGTCTGGCGATGGGCGGAAGTCCGACGACAGGCGAGAGTCTGACGTCGGATAAAAATATGGCAAAGGGCAAAAGTTCGGCATCGGGTAGAAGTCCTACAAATATCCAGCGTCGGGCATAAGTTCGGTGATGGGAAGAAGTCCGGCGTCGGATAAAATTCTGACAAAAATCCCACGACTGGCAAAAGTCCGACGACAGGCGGAGTCCGACGTCGGGTATAAGTCTGATGAAAGTCTGTCGATTGGCAGAAGTCTAGCGACGGGAGAAAGTTTGGCGTCGGGTAGAAATCCGGTGATAGAAAGAAGTCCGGCGACGGGTGAAAGTTCGACATCAAGTAGAAGTCTGAGGAAAGTCCGGCGACAGGCAGAAGTTCGGCATCGGGTGAAAGTCAAGCGACGGGTGGAAGTCTGGCGTCGATCGATGGCCGGGAGGTGGTCGAGGAAGAGCATGGTAGCAAGAGAAATTTATGATTTCTCTTCCTCTCCTCTCTTTTTTTCCTCCTTGTTTTGGGCCCCTTTCCGTGAGGAATGAGTGGACTATTTATAATTTTCTGAGAGTGGCATGACCAAAAAATAGGAGAGAGATCAAGGGCAAGTTGGGAGTGGTTTGAATGGATGGCCAATGCCCCTTGATCGTGGACCGTTTATTCAATATTTGAATGTCTTAATGATATCAGAATTTGGCGATCTTGAGCTCGTTAGATTCGCCTCATCAAACCGCTCATTTCAACTATAAGCATGTCACATTTGGAAACCGTTTGGTAATCCAAATTATGGTTTGATCCTTCCAAATGTGCTTTGGGTCTTTGATTTGGACCTATTTGAGCTCGGATTGGGTCGAATATGCGCGTTGGGTTCGTATTTTCGAGACTTTCAATTCGATTGTAAGTTTGCTGAATTTGGAGTTCAGATAGTCCGGTGTTTAATTTTTGAAGTTTCCAACTTGATTTTGCCTCGAGATTTATGCCCGATTAACATAATTTTATGATGATATATCAATTCTTAATTATATTTGACTTAAATCCTAGTTGCTGCCAAACGGCCCTAAAATTATGCAGAAGGCGAAAATCCTTTCTTCTTAATTTCCATTTTTAAATTTCATGATGAAAGCTTCAGAATTCAGCTCGAGATATTTTCTATATAAAATAAATTAAATTTTCTTTAAAGACCATGTTAGGTTACAAAGAATCTTCAAATTTCAATAACGGATCCAATACTACACTATACAATCAGATAAAGAAATCTATAAATAACAATCCTAGACATAAATCGACATGAAAACTGACAGGGCAAACGCCTATAGGAGGATCGAACGCACAACAACATGAAGATCAATACTCGTTAAAAACAATCTATATAACAAATACAACCTTAACAAGTTTGACAGGCCAAAAAGGTCATTCGAAAAAACACAAAGAAATCTAGACCTGAGAATAGATCAGGCAAAAAGAGACAAACCGTCGCTAGCCGGCGCGGGAGCAGGAGCATTGGCCTGAGCGGCCGGCAGGAAGGCGCCAACGATAAGAGCTACAATGGCCAATAAGAGGAAAGGAGATCCCATGATCACCACAAGCTCCGTGTTCGCTTCGCAAACGCTCACAATTGGACTCCTCACTCTCTCTCTCGGTCTGTCTCTGTGTCTCTTAGCTCTTAGCGACAGGCGGAGATTGAGAGAAGATTACTACGGTAAGAAAACAGCATTAACCAGAGATTAACCTAAGTGAAATTCGCTTTGTTGGGAGTTTCAGAAATGTGCAGGATCGGTAAGTTTTATAGAGGTGGAGACTGGCGAAGGAAGAAAGATAGAAGAAAGAGAGAAGAAAGAAAGAGGAAAGTGATTCGAACGAGGAAAAAAAATACGTTCTTAAAAAAAAAAAAAAAATCTTGTATGGACATTAATAATATTATTAAAATTCTTTAAAAAAAAAAATTTGTCGGAATCATGCGGCCTGCTCAAATAGAGGCATCAATTTCAGGTCACGAATCGGGTTCGGATCAAATCTGGAATTGACCTGAATTATTTGGGTCAACTTGAATCTGACCCGTTTTTTGCAAACAGGTCAATTTTTCGAACCCGAACCGACCCGCTTCGGGTCCAGGTCAACCCGACACGACCTGATAGACCCGGGCCGACCAAAAACTGCTAGTTTTTGGGTCCGAAAATGGGTCAATCTCACTTTTCGGGTCAAATGGGTCAATATCGGATTGTCGGGTCAAAAACTATTTTTTGAGTAAAAACGGGTTAATTTCAGGTCAAAAGGTCAACCAGAACTCGACCCAATTTTTGAAATGGATCGAATTATTGAACCCGAACCAAACCCGCTTCGTGTTCAGGTTGACTCGAACCAGAAATTTTCGGGTCGGATTTGAGTCGGTTTTCGGATCGTGTCAAATATTGACACCCTATGTTCATGTTGATCATAGAACTAGAATAACATAAAATCCGTATAAAATCGGTTGCCCGACGGTTGGATCAGGAAACCGGCAATTCAACACTGGTTTTCAAAAATCGCTTGGTTCTATTTATGAGAAGAAATTTGCAAAAAAATATATTTTATTCCTAATTGAGCTCTTATTTCTATCTCGTATCACATCGCCTCCTCTAGCGTTCCATTCGTGTTATCTCACTTGTACATTTGACATTGTATTGATTATTATTTACTTCTTGCCCATGTACTCTTTATATATAGCCTCAAGTGTATGTACAGAGATATTAATAATATACATTTCTTTCTATTCTCATTTCACAATAACTATTGGCTAGTTTTGATTAGCCCTTCCCATGCATGCATAAACTATGTCAAAGCATATTGATTTTATATTTTACCACACAGAGGGATAGTTCACTTTTGCATTGCATAAAATAGCATCATTCATGGTCAATCTTGAAGCTCATTTCCCTTCAGTGTCTCGCACCACTCTTGTATTTGCATAAAGACCAAATTACATTGATTTAAGATGCTAGGTGGAGTTTAGCTGGTATCCCTTTTCAAGCAGGATGGTAAATCAAGATCATGGACCCCTAGTGGGGTTTAGGTTATAAGTCCCCTCATTAGGTGTTTTATTAGTTAGGTCAAAAGCGTTAATATTTGGAGTATGGTATGTCCCTTATAGATTTATGATGAAAGGCTGGCGGTATGTGTATATCGATGCATGCCTTATTTTTGGATAGGTTCTCAATTCTTTAAAGACTATAATCCCGCATATATACATCAAATTGATGGGATCTATTCTACATCTCTCTCGTACATGCTTTTTATGCTATGCTTCTCTACATATTTCTTCTCTTTAGATCATTGTATGTTGAATAGGCCAATTGAGCCTATTTTCATTTTGATTAGGAAAGCTTAGATATTCCACTATGTGCTAAACTAAGAGGAGAATAAGATAACATCCTTAATTGAGAGTGTTTTTAGGTAAAGACCTAAGATATAATTAAGCATGGCGCTCACACCCATGAAAAATTGATACACACATAAAAATAAACCTCATTCTAGATGATGTATTGAATGGGGGAAATCTTGCGATTATTGAGTTATACATATTATTATCCATCGAGATGTGTAGGTGAAAGTCACTATTCTCTATATATAATTATATGTATGATTCCATTTGTTCTCCATTAGACCTGCTTGTGTAGAGTGTAAATGCCTACAACTATTTTATCCTCTGGGATAGTGTGATCGTACCCTTTATATCCTTTATATTCTAATTTCCGCTTGCAGCATCCTTTTGGAGACCCATATATATCATCAGCCATTAAGTAGCAGTCATGCAAAATTAGTAAAATGCACATACAATAGCAGTAAAGTTTATGAAATAGTATAGTAATATGGTACAAAAGCTAATAAAATAGTACAGTGCAGAAGTAAATCAGTACGGATGTAAAATCAATAAAATAGTCATCGTTGTAGTAATATTTCATCATGTCATTAAGAAAATCATATAAATTAGTATAACCAAAGCCTTGATGAAGATTGTCTAATTAATAAAATAAAATCATATAATAATGTCACATGCCATCCAATTATTCTATATCAATTTCATAATCACTTATCTAGTATATTACATAATGGGTAACAGTGAATTGATAAATAATAAATATATCAAGGAATCAATATTTGTATTAGTGAATCATTAATAATAACAATAGAGTAGTGTAGTAACAGTATTAGTAAATCCAAATAATAAAATTAAATTAGTGCACTAATAACGTATACAATTTAGTCTTAAACCAATATCAATAAAACCAGTCTTTTACTTATCCTCACACATATGCTTTTTATATCAGTAATATCAACTAACTATTTTCCAATTACATAACCATTTTAATTCATGATAATGCTTGTATTAATATATATATATATAGTGTGTGTGTGTGTGTGTGTGTGTGTGTGTGTGTGTGTGTGTGTGTGTGTGTGTGTGTGTGTGTGTTAGTGTGCAGCACCACAACATCACAATTCAGTATTGCATGTTGAATCTAGAATTACTGTAGAATAGAAGCTAGCTTCAACGCTGTGATAGTATTTTTTGTCACCGCCATGGTCCAGACCAAGTATCACAAACAGACATCATCGTTATGCTGTCGTTGAAACAGAAATTCAAATTTGCATGTTAAAATTATTTTTAAAAATTTTGAGTCATTATAGTGGATGTCGATAATGTGATTCATCCTTATTGATAATGATGTTCATTAAAGTTGCGATTGATGATAGAAAATAAAGTTAGCGAGCATTGGCCTTGTTGATGATAGTTCATATTAATCTTATAGGTGATGACATGCTTTGATGATATGCATTGGCCTTATACATGATGGCATGCAACAATGATGTATATTAATCTTATAGGCAAAGATATGTATCAATATTATACGCGATGAAATTAACGAATATTGACATTGGTGTCAATAATGTTTATTGGCCTAAGAGGCGTTAATATGCATTGATGTTGTTAATGATAAAGTCGATGTGAGTTAGTAATTAGATGGTGGTGGTTAGAAGATTGTAATTAAATATTAATGGTCAATATACTACAACTAAGTGGTAGTTATTGGGAGAATTTAATTAAGCGATGGTGGTCATAAGATGTAATTAGGAGAAGATGATCAAGAAATCATAATAAGATAATGGTGGTTGTTTGACAATGTTTAAGATAATATAGTTAAGAAATGGTGGTCAGGATATCATATTTGAGCGTGGTGATTAGTGATAGTGTTTGTGTGATAATGGTTGGGAGAATGTTGTCATGCGATGATGTTAAAAAATAATAATCGAATTATGATCGTTGGATAATGGTGGTAAGGAGAATGTTGTCCAATGATGTCAGTTAAAAGACTATAGTTGGGCGATAGTTGTTAAGAAACTGTAGTTCAACGATGGTGCTTGGATGATGATGTTTGTGTGATGGTTGTTGGGAAATCATAGTTGGGTGATTTTGGTCAAGCAACAATGTTCGGGAGACTGTAGTTAGATGATGGTCACATAACAGTTGTTGGAGACTATAGTCAAATGATGATGGTTAGTATGGCATAGTTGAGTTATAGTAGACATATTATAATCATGGTATAGTGGCTGGATGATAGTGGTCGGGCTATGGTGGTAGGGAGACTATAGTTGAGCATATGTGGTTAGAAAATAGTAGTCAATTATGTTGGTCTGAAGGCCTTGGTGGGTAGTAGATGAGAAAAAACAAATGGGTGATGGCGATTGAGTGACGGTAATAGTGGCGGTTGGTGATACTCGACATCAAATGTCGGGATAAGCTCAAGAGTTCTCCAAATCTCCAAGCTTTCTCCCACTCAAGTTAATGTTCCTTTTATAAGGAGAATGGATATCTATTATAGTTTTTAAAAGTGATATTTTGGTAAATCTAGCCAACATCCCAAAACACTTTATCAAATGGCTTGTGATGATTCCTTTGATTATAGACCATTATTTTATCATTTAAATACTATAATGACCTTGGAATTGAGTGATCTTGAGCTTGTTGAACTCCACTTTTTGAGTCGCTTGTTTTATATGTAAGCATGCAAAGATAACAGATAATTCGTTCATTCAATTATTATCTCCTAAATTTTAATCTCAGTTCCAAGTATTTTATTTAGGCTCATTTGGACTCAAATTAATTTGATCATCTTTGTTATCAATATGATTGTCTAATTTAGATATTCACTACTTCGACTATATAAATTTATTAAAATCAAAGTTTGAATGATTCTAAATTAATTTAGAAGTTTTCAATTCAAATATTGCATCAGATCATGAGCTTTTTGATGATGTATCATACATGATGAGGGTTAAATAGTTCATAGAGATTTCAATGTTGACATCATGCACCTCAATAATAAGATGTTAAGAAGTGATTCATCTACGCATAACTTGAACCCACCTGAAAAATATTTCACTTAAAGGAAAATATTCCCCCCAACTTTAGTGGAACATCTAAGATCACACATGTCTATAATTGATCCATGAAAATAAATCAAAAGATAGACTCGCAATCACATTTTAGAAGAAAATCGTTATTATTATGTCACCTAGTTAGTTTGTCCCTACTAATAATCACAAGAATAAATATGCCTTCAATTCCCAACGGCTTTCTTTAAGTATATAATGGTAAAATTTTCAACCTCTTCTTAATGTTCAAATGAAAAAGAAGAACCCTAAAAAATACTTAACATATTTTAAATTTTCAATGGCATTGTAACGGCTAGCTAGTTGCTACCGTTGAGTCCGGGTTGTAGCTGCAACCAATTGTTAACCTAATGATTGTTCATATTTTACAAGTTGTCATGGCTGCAAATCATTTCTAGGCCTCAAGAAAACTC